CATTTTGAAGTTCATGCCAATGTAAACTTTCGCAATTTAATAGCTTTGCAGAGAAGCTTTAGAGCTTTTACACTCTTCGAAAAGCAATAAAAAGCACAAAGCACAATTTATTTAGCATAGGAATGCCATTAAGTTAAGAAAATTGAACGAAAATTGGTATTAAGTGCTCGTAACGGAAATTATTTTTTCTACAAATTTACAATCCTGTGCCTACTGAAAACACCTTTTAATAAAATTTGAATATTTCACACATTTTCTCTTGATATGCGGTAATCGACTTCTGTTGTAACCAATTCCCAACAATCGTAATTAAGACAAGTAAAACACTAATAAAACAAACGATTAAAACATGCTAACGAAATATGAATGCATTCAACTGTATACTTATGTATATGCAATACTTACACATGAATTATGTGCTGAGCAAATGCGAATTTAAAATAAAAGTAAGAAGTATATTTTCAGATTACTAAAATATTTGCATTGTGCATAAAGTTAGGAAAGCAACATACATACATAACTGCTAATCAAAATATTTATAACTTAATTTCTGGTTAATGCTACACTAAGAGGCGCTACAACAGCACTGGAGCATGACTTACACGAATTGCGTGGCTCTAATCAATTATCACACACTGAGTTGGCGGGAAAGCAAAGAGAGGTTGGCAGAGGGTGTTGGACAAAAAAAGATGTTTGGGAAAATAAAAAGATTGGTAGTGAAAGAGCGCATGAAAAAAAAGGGAATGGCGATATATCTTAAGGGTCTCCTCACCAGTTTTTTATCCACTACAATTGATTAATTTCAAATTATTCAAGACTTTGTATTTGAGAGCGGTTTACACATGTTGTATACATATATAGATATATATGGGTGTTTCCATGAAGTGGTCCACCGTGACTTAAAAAATCAAAACGCTCGCAGAATTTTTATAGGCACAGAAAACAGAAGAAAAATGTTGATATTTTACTATGTAAAAAAATTTTCAGCTCTTTATAATTTTAAATTCCAAAAAATTTTAGGC